ATACAAGTTAGGTTTCTATTTCCTCTCAAAGTAAGTAACGTGAATGAAAGTTCTGTTTCAATTTCATCTCAAGGTAGGTAAAGCGAATAAAAGTTGGGATTCTTTTTTCTGTAAAAGAAAGTAACGCGAATAAAGTAATTTTTTTTTTTTTTTTTTTTTTTTTTTTAAAAGTCCAATTTCGTCTTAAGAAACGTGAATAAATGTTAGGTTTCTATTGTCTATAAAAGGTTTCAATTTCGTCTCAGGTAACGCGAATAAATGTTAGGTTTCTATTTTCTTTAAAAGTAATTAACCGGAATAAAAGATAGGTTTCAATTTCCTCTCAAAGTAGGTAAAGGAAAAGTTTGGTTTCAATTTCCTCTCACAGTAGGTAATGCGAATAAAAGTTAGGTTTCAATTTCATCTGAAATTCATTAACGCGAATAGGCGTTATATTTCAGTTTCCTCTCAAAGTAAATAACGCGAATAAAAGAAAGGTTTCAATTTCATCTCAAAATCAGTAACACAAATAAAAGGTTTCTATTTTCTGTAAAAGGTTTCGTCTCAAGTAACGCGAATAAATGTTAGGTTTCTATTTTCTTTAAAAGTAATTTATCGGAATAAAAGACAGGTTTCAATTTTCTCTCAAAGTAGGTAAAGTTTGGTTTCAATTTCCTCTCAATGTAGGTAACGCGAATAAAAGTTAGGTTTCAATTTCGTCTCAAATTCCGTAACGTGAATAGGAGTTAGATTTCAGTTTCCTCTCGAAGTAAATATGAGAATAAAAGGTAGGTTTCAGTTTCCTCTCAAAGTAATTTACGCAAATGAAAGAAAGGTTTCAATTTTCTCTATTAGTAGGTAACGCGAATAAAAAAGCTAGGTTTCTATTTTCTGTAGACGTAAGTTATGCAAATAAGATTTATGTTTCAAATTTCAACTTCCTTTAAAAGTGAGAAAAGCAAAAAAATGTAGGTTTATATTTCCACTTAAAGTAAGTATTGGTAAGGTTTTGTATAAATTGACTTTTTTCTTGTGAATGCTCTGCTTAAATATTTCATCATCAGCACACACCGCTATTTAAACACAGTATTCATAAGAAAACTAAATAGGTTTCAGTTTCCTCTCAAAGTAAGTAACGCGAATAAAAGTTTAGTTTCAATTTCCTCTCAAAGTGGGTAACAGTAATAAAAGTTAGGTTTCAATTTGTTCTCGCAGTAGGTAATGCGAATAAAAGTTAGGTTTCTGTTTCCTCTCAAAGTAAGTATCGTGAATGAAAGTTAGGTTTCAATTTCCTCTCAAAGTAGGTAACGCGAATAAAATTTAGCTTTCTATTTTCTGTGAAAGTCAGTAATGCGAATAAAAAATAGGTTTCTATTTTCTTTAAAAGTAATTAACCGGATTAAAAGATAGGTTTCAATTTTCTCTCAAAGTAGGTAAAGGAAAAGTTAGGTTTCAATTTCCTCTCACAGTAGGTAACGCGAATAAAAGTTAGGTTTCTTTTTTCTGTAAAAGAAAGTAACGCGAATAACAGAAAGGTTTCAATTTTCTCTATTAGTTGGTAATGCAAATAAAAACTAAGTTTCTTTTTTTTGTAAACGTAAGTTATGCAAATAAGGTTCATGTTTCAAATTGCAACTTCCTCTAAAAGTAAGAAAAGCGAAATAAAATGTAGGTTTATATTTCCACTTAAAGTAAATATTGTTAAGGTTTTGTATAAATTTACTTTTTTCTTGTGAATGCTCTGCTTAAATATTTCGTCATCAGCACACACCGCTATTTAAACACAGTATTCATAAGAAAACTAAATAGGTTTCAGTTTCCTCTCAAAGTAAGTAACGCAATAAAAAGAAAGGTTTCAATTTTCTCTATAAGTAGGTAGCGCGAATTAAAAAATAGGTTTCAATTTCCTCTCAAAGTAATTAACACGAATAAAAGTTTGGTTTCAATTTCCTCTCAAAGTAGGTAACGCGAATAAAATTTAGGTTTCTATTTTCTGTAAAAGTCAGTAACGCGAATAAAATATAGGTTTCTATTTTCTTTAAAAGTAATTAACCGTAAAAAAAGATAGGTTTCAATTTTCTCTCAAAGTAGGTAAAGGAAAAGTTAGGTTTCAATTTCCTCTCACAGTAGGTAATGCGAATGAAAGTTAGGTTTCAATTTCATCTCAAATTCAGTAACGCGAATAGGAGTTAGATTTCAGTTTCCTCTCAAAGTAAATAACGCGAAGAACAGAAAGGTTTCAATTTCATCTCAAAATCAGTAACACAAATAAAAGGTTTCTGTTTTCTGTGAAAGGTTTCATCTCAAGTAACGCGAATAAATGTTAGGTTTCTATTTTCTTTAAAAGTAATTTATCGGAATAAAAGACAGGTTTCAATTTTCTCTCAAAGTAGGTAACGTTTGGTTTCAATTTCCTCTCAATGTAGGTAACGCGAATAAAAGTTAGGTTTCAATTTCGTCTCAAATTCCGTAACGTGAATAGGAGTTAGATTTCAGTTTCCTCTCGAAGTAAATATGAGAATAAAAGGTAGGTTTCAGTTTCCTCTCAAAGTAATTTACGCAAATAAAAGAAAGGTTTCAATTTTCTCTATTAGTAGGTAACGCGAATAATCGCTAGGTTTCTATTTTCTGTAAACGTAAGTTATGCAAGTAAGATTTATGTTTCAAATTTCAACTTCCTTTAAAAGTAAGACAAGGGAAAAAATTGTAGCTTTATATTTCCACTTAAAGTAAGTATTGTTAAGGTTTTGTATAAATTGACTTTTTTCTTGTGAATGCTCTGCTTAAATATTTCATCGTCAGCACACACCGGTATTTAAACACAGTATTCATAAGAATACTAAATAGGTTTCAGTTTCCTCTCAAAGTAAGTAACGCGAATAAAAAGAAAGGTTTCAATTTTTTCTATTAGTAGGTAAGGCGAATAAAAAATAGGTTTCAATTTTCTCTCAAAGTAAGTAACACGAATAAAAGTTTGGTTTCAATTTCCTCTCACAGTAGATAACGTGAATAAAAGTTGCGTTTCTATTTCCTCTCAAAGTAAGTAACATGAATGAAAGTTAGGTTTCAATTTCATCTCAAAGTAGGTTACGCGAATAAAATTTAGCTTTCTATTTTCTGTAAAAGTCAGTAATGCGAGTAAAATATAGGTTTCTATTTTCTTTAAAAGTAATTAATTGGAATAAAAGATAGGTTTCAATTTTCTCTCAAAGTAGGTAAAGGAAAAGTTAGGTTTCAATTTCCTCTCACAGTAGGTAACGCGAATAAAAGTTAGGTTTCTGTTTCCTCTCAAAGTAAGTTACGTGAATGAAAGTTAGGTTTCAGTTTCCTCTCACAGTAGATAACGCGAATAAAGGTTACGTTTCTATTTCCTCTCAAAGTAAGTAACGTGAATGAAAGTTAGGTTTCAGTTTCCTCTCAAAGTAGGTAACGCGAATAAAAGTTAGGTTTTTATTTTCTGTAAAAGTCAGAAATGCGAATAAAATATAGGTTTCTATTTTCTTTAAAAGTATGTAACGCGAATAAAAGTTAGGTTTCTATTTTCTGTAAAAGTCAGAAACGCGAATAAAATATAGGTTTCTATTTTCTGTAAAGGTATGTAATGCGAATAAAAGTTAGGTTTTAATTTTTTGCGAAAGGTTTCAATTTCGTCTCAAGTAACGCGAATATATTTTAAGTTTCTATTTTCTTTAAAAGTAATTAACCGGAATATAAGATAGGTTTCAATTTCCTCTCAAAGTAGGTAAAGGAAAAGTTTGGTTTCAATTACGTCTCAAATTCAGTGACACGAATACGAATTAGATTTCAATTTCTTCTCCAAGTAAATAACTCGAATAAAAGTAAGGTTTCAATTTCCTCTCAAAGTAAGTAACGCGAATAAAAGAAAGGTTTCAGTTTTCTCTATTAGTAGGTAACGCGAATAAAAGCTAGGTTTCTATTTTCTGTAAACATAAGTTATGAAAAAAAGATTTATGTTTCAAATTTCAACTTCCTCAAAAAGTAAGAAAAGCAAAAAAATGTAGGTTTATATTTCCACTTTAAGTTAGTATTGTTAAGGTTTTGTGTAAATTGACTTTTTTCTTGTGAATGCTCTGCTTAAATATTTCATCATCAGCACACACCGCTATTTAAACACAGTATTCATAAGAAAACTAAGTAGGTTTCAGTTTCCTCTCAAAGTAAGTAACGCGAATAAAAGTTAGGTTTCAATTTCCTCTAATAGTAGGTAACGTGAATAAAAATTAGGTATTTTCCTCTCACAGTAGGTAACAGAAATAAAAGTTTGGTTTCAATTTCCTCTCACAGTAGGTAATGCGAATAAAAGTTGGGTTTCTATTTCCTCTCAAAGTAAGTAACGTGAATGAAAGTTAGGTTTCAATTTCATCTAAAAGTAGGTTACGCGAATAAAAGTTAGGGTTCTTTTTCTGTGAAAGAAAATAACGCGAATAAAGTAAGGTTTCTATTTTCTATAAAAGGTTTCAATTTCGTCTCAAGTAACGTGAATAAATGTTAGGTTTCTATTTTATTTAAAAGTAAGTAACCCAAATAAAAGATAGGTTTCAATTTCCTCTCAAAGTAAGTAACGCGAATAAAAGTAAGGTCTCAATTTCCTCTAATTGTAGATGACTCGAATAAAAAATAGGATTCAATTTCCTCTGAAAGTAGGTAACTCGAATAAAAGCTAGGTTTCAATTCCCTTTAAAAGTAGGCAACGCGAATAAAAGTTAGATTTCAATTTCCTCTCAAATAACCAAATAAAAGTAAGATTTCTATCTTAATGTAAAAGCAAGTAATGCGAATAAAATTTAGGTTTTGAATTCCTCTCAAAGAACGTAACGCAAATAAAGTTAGATTTCTATTTTCTATAAATTAGAATGCAAATTAGTAATGCAAATAAAAAATAGGTTTCTATTTGACTCAAAGTAAGTAATGCGTATTAAAGTGAGGTTTCAATTTTCTCTTAAAGCAGGTAGAAATTAGGTTTCTATTTTAAATTACCGGTATGTTAATTTCTTTTTCAGTATCTTCAGACCATTAAACAAATGCAGAAATGTGGGAACCAATTTAATTTAGTTGTGACCAGGATGTGTGACAATTCTGAATTTTATACAGCAGTTCTAATATATGTGACATATCCACACTTTAGGAATCGGAAGAAATTTTATCGTGGAGAATAATTTTCATTCTTTTTTTATTTGATTGGTGGATAAACTTTAATTTCTGTGATGGACACCAACAATCAAACGTATTTTTAAAAATCGATGATGGAGAATAAATTTAAATTGATCTTCGACAACAATGGACCAATGCGCTTGCATATAAAAGAAACCTGATGAAAAATTGATATATGTGAATAGCATTGACGATATCTGAAAAGAAAAAAGGACTTTCAGCGGAATAGTGATTATGGTAATGTATATGTATTGTGTGTGCCCTTTGCGAAGCTATAAACCAAAAGAGATATTAACCTTGCGTATAAAACTAGTAATTTAAATTCAAAATTTATGTATTTAATGATGAATGAAAAGTTGAAATGAAAACAATGTCTTTTTGTTGTTGTTGTTGTTGTCCTCGCCATAAAATGGTCGGGGTATTTTAAATGTCATCCCTTTCTGTCCGTCATTGTCATTTTTCCAGACTTTTTTTGTTTGTTTGTTTTTTTTGTTTTTGTTTTTTTTTTTTTTTTGTTTTTTGATGTGCTTGTAGATAATGAGCTGTACTCTTTTCACAAAAAACCCTTACAGCTGAGCTTATATTAAAAAGCTGATAGCTCGGTAATTTCTTTGTTCAATAAAGAATTTTTTTTCAAACAAATATTCACAATAAATTTCAATGTAACAGAAATAGAGAAATTTTGTGACCTAGTCTAATTTAGATACTTTGTGGACAATATTGTCTAAGTTGTAAGATATTCTGTGAAAAGATCCGCTGATTTTTGGTATTCTCTATGTATTGATGACTTAAATTTAATTAAAATCGATAGCTACACAACACGTAACGGAATACTAGACAAACATCGCCTTTGTGAATGAATATATCTTACTGTCACTATAGGATAGAATCGGAGATGCGTTAGCCAAAGTGTTACTGAAATAATACGAATCACCACACACTGTTGATAAGCTGACTATCTTAAACTAATAGTATTTTTTTATGATTTCATTTTAACCTGTTGCATTTAAAAATTTAAACTTTCAGTACAATGCAAATTCCGAACGTGTAATACATATATTATCGAAATAATAAGTACTTTGTAAAAATTATTTCGGAAGTAAAAATTAAGTTACAGAATTATGTAACATTGCAATTTGCAAGTAGACTATGAACAAAGAAAATTAACGAAAGCCCCTCCCCCCTTTTAAAAAAACAACAACAAACAAAAACAACAAACGCAGGGTGCGCACCCGGTGCGCCGGCTTTGGATCAGCCTCTACTCGCTTGATGATCATTTTTTTAAATGAAATAATTTTTTTCTCCAAATTTCCAGCACTCTTTTGTCATTAGGATCTATGTTCCAGTTCAGTGTTGCATATAAAATTCATGCATACTTTAAGAATTTCATCGTCTCAAAACTTCGTTAAATTTAAGCCATTGTTTGAAAAATCCAGCCCCTTCTATCTTGTTCGTACATGTGTATGAACGGTATGAGTAGTTGTTGGGAGATTTCTCATCGGGTTTACATTTATATGATTATATTTATGCCGTCTCTGTTTTTGTATTGCATTTCATTGAAATTTCGTAAAATAAATAGATACAAAAAACTCATCCCATTGTTTTCTGTATTTTTCACAGCTTGAAGATTTAGAGATTAATTTATTTCACAAGAATTCTCTCATTTTTACTGTCCCTTTGCAGGTTCTGGGATCATGAAATAGCTTAAACTTTTATCAAAATTTTAGGTATTTGTAAAATTCTTATCGTTGAAAATAAAAAATTATAATACAGCACTCTGGTGATCCAGTGTTATGGAATATTGTTTATAACACACTGTTTGACAAGCAGCTATATTTTGTCCTTGCATTTTGACGGAAGTTTAACGTGTTTCATGATCTTGGGGCCTGCAGCGCAGGACCACTTTAATTAAACATTGTCTTGAACCCATTGTTGGGTAACAAGGATTAAAAAATGTGAAATTGAAGGACCATAGTCCTTTCCAAACAAATTAATTCGAATTTGAAAAAAAAAATCCAACATATAGAGGGTTAGGATCTGAGAAGTTTGAGTGTAGGCTCATTTCTCAGGTCGGATGCACTATTTTTTCCCATTCTCCATTCACTTCAATGAGTTGCAAAGCATGACAGTCGACTATGTGATTACGATTCAAAAGCTTAAATATTTACATTTACATCTGGTAACCGGATTTTTTTTTTTTACTTTATAAGACTGAAGTAAGTAAATGGTTTATTATAATGACATGTGTTATGTACAATCACAACACTAAATATACATATACAATGTAATAGGAATTTAAACACACGACCCACTGGGCCTGTATGTCACTTTTAACAATATAACATTCAATAAAAATACAGTGGTATTACACCGGTTTACTATATATATAATAGACTGTAAGCATATGCTGAGTACAAGAATTTCTCGGTTCATGGTATGTCTGCGAAAATTTAATAAAAGAAATTCGGTTTTGTCTAAATCTGACATATTGAATACAGTGTATCTGTTTAAAAAAAAATAGATTCCTCCAAGATTTGAATATGAGATACAATGAAGCAAACAGTGACACCCATCTTCTACACTATTTGAGGTACATAATGTACACAGTCTTTAAGATAAAGTTTCCCCTTATACCGTCCTGTTTCATTTCTTATAGGTAACACACCGCATTAAATTGTACAAGTATAGAACGATGACATTTTGGAATATCCATAGTTACCAGGCGCGGATCCGGGAATTGAAGTTGGGGGGGGGGGGGGGCAAAAAGTAGGCAGGGGGTCTGGGGGCTGCCCTGAGGCCGACAGTGAGTCCATGGCGAAGTCCCTTTAGAGATTTTGTAGGGTAAAAATGAGGTCTACCGAGTAGACATTTTTACAATTTGTAGACGACACTATGATTTACGCTTTGACAGTTGGGGGGGGGGGGGGTGCAATATTGTTAAATCCGCCACTGGTTACATAGTTTTCATAGTTTGAAAATCACTTTTTACGGTTCGGTAGGTTCAAAGTTTTGGGACTTTTTGGAGTTCTTCATTCCAGACAATACACATTTTCGATGAAGTTTTTCCACTGTATATACAGACTATGCAATTTAGGAAATTGAAAGACACTGTTCATGCTCTTATTAAACATTTTGATAATAATCAATATTTATTTGTTTCATTAATTTATGATTATTCCGAACTCCTTCATTTATAAACTCTGCCTACCAACCTAGGGAAAAAGAATCTCCAAAAGTAAAGAAACTGGGGGGATAAGCCGAGCCATATGCCTACATAACGATCGATAAAAAATCAAAAAATTCAATTTACAAAAATTTCACTTTTTGTTGAATTAACGTAATGCTTATTACCATTTGCATACATATTTGACAAAACCTGAATACTGTAACAGCGAAAATGATTCTGATTAACACAAAAAATGGCATCACGCTCAATTTTCACAGAAACTGACATAAATTGGATGATATAACTACATTTTTTAAATAGAGTGGGTTATCGTACCATTTTTTTGAGAACGATTAATGAAAGGCAATGGAAAGATGTTGCATTTTACACTTGCAAAAATTTGGTATGAAGACCCACTCTACATAAAAAACTAAGTTAACTTACTTAAATTTTCACCGTGGTCTTAAAAAATTCTAAGTCCAAAAACGCTTGCTAAATATAGAGAACTGTATGCTATTTAAAAAGACATACCGGTATAAGTGTGACTCCGTGGTCTAGTGGTTAGCGAGGAGCTCTTTAAAGGGACGTTTATTGAGGAAAGTGTTCGAGTCATGCTCTGATTTTTTGATTTTTTTTTTTTTTGGTTTTAATTTTGTTTTACTTTATAAAAATGTCTATAGGAATAACATATTTTTCACTGGAAATAAAATATATACATGTAGTAATGAACTTATTCACAGTAAATTATTTAAAATGCCGGTTAAAAATTATAATAGATATTTGAATACTTTTATTCCCGTTTTTATTCATTTTAAATAAAAGCGCTTCTAGATCACCATTATCATTATATACGATGTTAACATTTTTATAATATCTCCACAATAAGTGTAAACACTCAATATGCAGATTAATTAATAGAAGTCCTTACCCATGTTGGACATTTGTGACAGTAAATGAAAGTCAACTGTTTAGCTTGTTTAGAATATAAATATCATTTTGAAAACTACGGTAAACATTAAAATGCTTAAGTAAATTCGAACAATTGAGAGATTTTTTCCAATAAATGTTCTTGCATAGCCGAAAAATGGGCATGGGCACATGGCTCGTCTTATCCCCCCAGATTCTTTGTTGAAAAAAATGTATATCAGATATGTTATTTATTATTGTCCATAAGTAAACATACATGTACATGTGTATTTAGATATTCAAACTTATGCAGTCTATAAAGTGACTTGTATGTCCAACAGGCCGGGTGTAGATTGTTAATTTTTATATATTATTGTATTTCAAATGTCATGTGTGCACAATGTCACTATAAAAACACTTACTTACTTAACAGTGGAGTTGATTACGTGGTTTTACTCATCTATAACCGGGAGGCTTTGATGTATGAAATCAATGTACATTAAAACATTTTGATTCATGTAATGACTGCACAATGTTGTATTGGTGTTTATATTGATTAATGAAAAATAACTAAATTTAAATTTTCGACAAACATAAAATAACGATCGATGTACTTGTGTATAATTGCACAAATGCACAATATGCTTTAACAAATGCATCCAGAATTTTTCTTTACTGAAAACATATATTGAATCACAACTGGGTCGGACCCAGGTCTTGTCCTTCACAATCAGGCCTGTAGGAAGCAATTTCAGTTTTGGGAGAACAACCACATATTTTCAGAGTTTTTTTTTTTTTTTTGGGGGGGGGGGGGGTCAAATCCCTTGTCAAGCAAAAAAGGTAATCGGACTTTATTATTGAGGGAGTACAAGCATAAAGTAGCAATGTTTTTTACAATATAACGTTAGTATATATCGGCAAATTTGTTTGAGGGGAGGGGTACGACTCTCCGTTTCCTACGGTCTTGCAAATAAAAAGAAAATGAACAAGTACAATAATAATTTTCTTTACTTAACGCCTAAAAGAGAATATATAAATATGCATGCTTCGTTGTTGAATTGTGTACAAATTAATGACGAATGCGTAAGCAATCCCTGTTCCATTTTTTTTTTAGGTCACCTGAGTCACTCAGGTGACCTATTGCTATCTCTTTTCGTCCGTCGTCGTCCGTTGTGAGACGTGCGTCGTGTTAAAATTTGTACATTTTCAAATTCTCTGAAATTGCTGATTCAATTTCAACCAATTTTGGCATATAGTATCTATGGGTGAAGGGGAACAAAAATTTTGAAGTTCATGGCCCCTGTCCCCCCGGGGCCCGAGGGATGGGACTAAAGCCATCAAAATTAATGTAATCTTTAAAAATCTTCTTCTTTACTCCTGGACATCAAGCAGTCAAACTGTTAACATGATTGTAATAAGCATTAAGGCCTCTACCAAAATTGAAAAATTCATGGCCCCAAGGTCAGGGGTTCTGGTGATATGGTGGGGCTCTGTTGAATATATAGTGAAAATGCATTGTTTCTTTAAAAAATCTCTCTGGTCTTGGGTATTCAGCAAACAAACTAAATGCATAGTTATGATAAGCAAGGGTGCCTTTTCCAAATTGTGAATTTCATGGCCCCTGATCAGGGGTTCCAGTGTTAGGGCGGGGCTCTAATGATTATATAGTGAAAATACATTAATTCTTTGAAAATCTTATCCTCAGCTCCTAGGTATTAAGCAAACAAAAATAAATGCATAGTTATGATGAGCAAGGGCGCCTCTTCCAAAATTATGAATTTCATGGACCCTGGGTCAGGACTTCTGGTGTTAGGGAGGGGCTGTGACGGTACATATTGTCGTTTTTACTTATTTTTCGTCGGCGACAATATGTACCTACCCTCACTGCACATATTGTCATCCATCGATACATGTTGTCGCCGGCTGAAAAGTTGCACATGTACATATTGTCGCTGGCGACATTACGTGCCTTCCCTCACTGTACATATTGTCACCCCACAAATAATGTTGGTTAAAGATTTTTTGTTGTTTTTTGGTAGTTTTCTGAATGTAATTGGTGTGTAAATCACACTGACGTGTCTCGTATGCTATTTCATGCAGCGTGATTGTGACGGTACAAATTGTCGTCCTGTTCATATTGTCGCTGGTGACAATTTGTACATGTACCTACCCTTACTGCGATATTATATTATTAAATTATTTGATTATGAAATTTTACTTGTAAATTAAACTGAGAGTATATAGAAGTTTAACATACAGAATTTACAAAAGCCAAAAAGCGGGGGGTGGGGTGCGCCGGTTCTAGATCCGCCTTTGATTCTTGAGAAGATTTTTAAAGATTTTCTTTATATTTTCGTATGTAAAACTGATCACCCATTGAGGCCTTATCCTACCCCTGAGGGTCATGATTTAAACAAAAATGATTTTACATATATTTGTTTGTTGTTTAATGTCCCCCTCGAGAACTTTTCATTCAAATAGAGACGCCAACACTTGCCGGTGGAGGGGGGGGGGGGGCAAA